TCTGTGTTTTTTTTGCGTTAATCTTGTGTTCTTCCCTGTGAATTTGCTGGTAGAACTAGCCTGCAGAATAATCACTATTCTGCCCGGCGTCAATAGCTCAACAACTTCACCATCGAAGGTTACCCTATTCCCATGGTTAATGAGTTAATGGAAGAATTGTGGTGGTCAGAATACTTTTCTAAGACTAATTTGAGGGTTGGATATCACCATATCAGAGTAACAATAGATGTACATAAGATGCGTTTTGGCCTCACTAATGTCTCAGCTACATTTTAGAGCCACATGAATGAGGTATTGATAGAGTGTTAGGTCTTAAGTTGTATTGAAATTTTTTTAGACTAAATAATTATTATAAAATAGTTGTAAAAGTCAAAAAGTTTTTTGGGGTGCTGTATAGATGATTTAGGAATCTTTGGGTTCGAGTATGGAACGTGAAGAAAAAGTTGGTGGATTTATGCTAGCCTGTCGCCAAACTGATTCTCGAGCGTCCAAAACAGAACCAAGGTTGCTCGCCTGTCGCTAGCTTGGCGCTCGAGCAATAGTGTTTTTCGAGAAACTCTAGTTCGCGATTTTCAAAAGTTCTATTTATCATATATTACCTAAATACCTCTTATTATAAATACCCAATGCCCATTACATTTGTGGGTGAGATTGATTATTATAATACATTCTCATAACACCATTCCAAGATCTAAGAATATGTCCAAACATTGAAATTAAATTTTTGATTCTTGAGATCAATCAACCACAAGTTGGAAAAATATCAAATTCAAATAATCCAAAATACCCACTTCTTAAATATAACCAGGAATGTATTTTCTTAATAGTTTGCATAGGTTGCTGAAGATTGATGGAGGTTGGACCAGAAACACAGAAACAGTACAAGAACAAGGTGTTCCCGATAATTCACGGGAAACGGACAATTCTAGAAAATCGAGAGCAGGTGTGAGTGAAGTAAGTTCAACGGGTCTTGAAGATTGTAAGAATTAGATCAGGGAGTTTAGTAAGTTTTCTAGGATGGATCGTAATGTAAGTTCTTATTGTTTATAGTGGAAGTTATTGGCTTGGTCTCGAAATTTTTACATAGTTAAGAGTTTTCTCTGTCAACAAATCTTGTGTTATTTAGTGCTTTATTTATTATTGTGATAATTCAATATAGTATATCTTGACTTGATTGACTAAACATTTAGAATAATTAAAAAGTGAATTGTTGTTTTTAATTGATAATTTTAATTTCGCGTTATTTACCCTCCCTCTAGGTATTTTAGGGTCTAACTCGTAACTTTCATATATAGAGCAGTTGAGAAAATTTGTGTTGGTCTTTTTTGATGATATTCTGGACAGCCCACATTAGAATCCCATTGCATTCACCTTCCTAAAGTTCTTGGCATGTTGAGAAAGAACCAGTTATTTGAGAAGTGGAAGAAGCGCTCGTTGGCTAGCCACAAGTGGAGTACCTGGGACACATAATTAGTGAAAAGGGGATAGCTGCTGATCCTTTAAAAATAGCAGCCATGCAACAATGGCCTAAACCAACCAAAATTAAACAGCTGAGTGGGTTCCTGGGCTTGATTGCTTACTATAGAAAGATTCTAAAATGGTATGGGATTATTGCTAATCCACTGACTAATCTATTGAAGAACAATTTTGTCAGGAGTAGTGAGGCAGATGAAGCATTCGAAATTCTCAAAAATTCAAAATAGCCATGTACTCAAATCCTGTGCTGGCCCTTCCAGATTTCAATCAACCATTTGTAATTGAAACAGATGCCTGTCAAGAAGGGATTAGGGGGAGTGTTGATGCAAAATAAGAGACCTCTAGCTTATATCAGCAAGTTTCATAAGTAATAAGAATTTGGGTCTGTCCATTTATGAGAAGGATTTGTTAGCATCAGTCTCGCTGTTAGCAAATGGAGGCACTATCTTGAGGGACATCACATTGTTACTAGACTGACCATAAGTCTCTTAAGTACCTACTGGAGCAAAGGATAACCACTCCACTACAGCAAAATTAGCTGTCCAAACTGTTGAGACTCAGTTACGAAATCCAGTACAGGAAGGGTTCTGAAAACCTAGAGGCAGATCCACTATCCTAGCCGCAGAATGTTCGGCCATTTCCACATTTACTACCAGTGTGGGTTCAGGAGGTTTTGGACAGTTATATAGAAAAAAATGTAGCACAAGAAAAGATCAGGTATGCTTTTGATTTCGTGTGAGGATTAATTTGATGAAACTATTACATTAACTACTAAGGGATTTTAATTACGGGGTCGATTTTTTGGGTGTGTGAGATGTAACTCATTGTATATACTCTGCTTCCTCGTTATAGTAAGGAAGAAAAGTTAAAGTTGATATTGATTCAATCTTTTACTTATCTTACCGAAGAAAAACTTGAGATAAATTTTTCTTTATGTATTTCTAATCTTACTAGCAGATAGGATTTCATGGATCACAAGTAAAGAAACTTTACAAAGTAAAATCAGATTTCATTCCATTACAAATGAAGAAAATTTGTTACACAATCAATCCGGTGGAAGGACAATCACTTTTAAGTTGGAAAAGGTTGGAATACGGCTTATGTGGTCTGCCTCTTGTTTCACGTGAGGAATGGTTTGTGGTTTGAACATCACTGACACCCCCATACACTTATCCTTGACAAGTCTCCATCGACCCATTGCATGTTGGCACTTCAAATGTGCACAAGATATGACTCAAATCTAGAAACTGTTGCATGATACCGAGATTTAAGTTACAAGACTTATATTTGTAGATACTCCCATCCCTTTCACAATAATAATTTTCTAAATTACGATTCGAGCATAAATGAGTTTATATTAACTGCATGGACTAATTCGTTCAGGAAACATATTGCATGAACTCCATATCGTTCTCTAAGCCAGCCATGGTCTCAGGAGCTAAAACAACCTCCAGATCAACATTTCCATTTCCTTCTCGTCCAGGGAAGGCTGAGATCTTACCGTCAAATTTATTGGCCCTACCACTTCTAACCGCCAATGGTCGACCCCATCCAAAATCATTATCGTACATTGGAAATCTTGGAGAACTTCCCATGGTGATCATCGCACCATCGAAATTCCCCAGTGGGAACAACCTCGGGTTGTTCTCCCAATCCTTCACGCCTCGACGAACCGTACCATCATCGTGTGCCACTACGTTCATGTGCAGCTGATTTGCGCTCCAATTCAAGTCTTTAGATAAAAGCTCCCCAACTGTTGCAACTGTTGGAATACTCTGAATAGCGTTCCCAAAATAGAGTGGCTCGAGTCGCGGTTCAAGCCGGTGTCTACAGTTAACTGCCATTCTAAATGTCGTTACTTTGTTATCGTCTAATTGTCTGGCACGTGTCACCGACCTCCAAAGTTGTGCACTAAGTGACTGAAATGATGAAATCACAGTCGTTGGATTCTGTTCCCATTTGTTAGTACCATTCTTGAACAGAAGCTCCTCCAAAACGGACGTTATTTTTCCGTTAACTTTACAGTTATTTTCAACGTTATTAACAACCCAATTATCATTTCTCTGTTTCCCAAAAATCTCCACGCCTTTTGGGCCCGACATTTCGGGTTTTCGGGACAGATTATTTGCTCTGAATTTCAGCTTCAAGATGGCTTCTCTGCTAAAATGGAAAATCTTTTCACGCAAAGGTTCATCGCCGGAAAAAGTCACCGATGGCCCACCGTCGGGAAACTTGAGCGACGCCGGTGAATCTAACACGGTGTCACGGCTGAAATTGGGAGTTTTGGAGATCTTCTCCGCCCCCTTACAGACCTCTGCAAAGGTATTGAAGAAGTTCCAGAAAGAGGTACCGTCCACCACGGCGTGGTTGGCGGTGCAGCCGATAAAAACGCCGTCGTTGAGCTCGGTTACCTGAACTGCAACGAGGGGTTTATAGTGTCCAACGTAGCTCAGAGTGTTATCAAATTGGAAGAACTTTCTGAAACTGGGATGGATATCTTGATGATGGTCAGATGGCAGAAGGGTACTAACAGATATGTATGGCGCCTTGGCGTGAACAAAATCGATACCGAAATCATTACAAAGGATGTGGACATGGCCATTAGCATCAGTATGAAGGCGGCCGGCGAGAGCCGGGAAGTGGGAGAGAGTTTTAGAGAGAGAAATCTTGAGGAGAGAGATGAGAATGGAGGACTCAAATGGTGGTTGAGATAACAAAACACCCTTTTGGATGTACTGGCACGAAAGCATGGGAAGATCAGATACAGAGAGCTTAAGAGATTTAATGGCAGATTTGTTTTGTGGGTAGACAGTGCACTTGGAGATGATGGATACTGAGGAAGAAGGCATTGTTTATCCTTTCACTAATGTTTGTCAAGTATTGTTTTGTTGTACATTCACAAGTGCATGTTCTTGGGTATTTATAGGGGATGGTTTGGGTTGTTAACGATATTTATGCAGATGCATGGCCCACTTTTAAACAGTTTGCTCGAAATAGTTTATCAGGATATATAAGATAGCAAAAGAAAAAAGACTCGGAATTACGTCTGATCGTTACTTATTTAGGAAAAATCGAGAACCGGGTCGGAATCGGGGGTGGATGACATGACATAAATAGTTTAGATAAAAACTAACATCAAACTCGCTCAACCGGAACTGGTGACCTGGGCACAAGTTTACCAATTGGCCAGTTAGATTTTTATTAAAAAAAAAAGAAGAAATAAATGATGCTAAACATCCCGCTGCTCCGATGTTTTCTATTTTTCGATTGTGTTCCCTGTAGCTGCTTGGGTTTACTTTGTACGTGAGTGGGAAATATCATATCTCGCCATATTATGTACATGTAGCATAATTAGAGAAACGGAGAGAGTGGCGGAGGGGAGATAAAGGGTTAGCTAGGGATGTTTACAATGTAAGTCCGACCTCTTTTTCTAGTTATTGTCCAATTCGAATTTTAGAATATATTTTTTCCTTGGAAGCTCTCGTTTGAGATTGATTCAACACTTATTTTTACTAAAGTTTGACTCATCAAAGAGCTTCATGTGCTTTGACATTATATATTTTTTTATTTAAATTGATTATATGTAAATCATTTAACTTTCATCTACGACACTTTCTGATGGACGAGATGCCTAGTCAGTTAGGCCAGGTAGGTTTGATCGAATCATGTTAAACTTTCTATGATATCATCAACGGCTGTAAATATTGGTTAGCACTTGTCAAATATTGATTATGCTCCCATTTGATCTACATTATTATCTCATTAAAATGAAAAAATATGATCGTTATCCATCACATCAACATTTAAATTCTAATTTTCTATCTCGTATGTAGAACCCAATAACGGCTATATTTTTCATTCTCATTTTACAATAATTTGGCTCAAACAGGGCGGTATCTCAAATACATTGAATTTAGCACTGATTTCCCCACCTCACGTCCTAGGTTGGATTGGGGCACGATATTTAATTCAACTAGCGTTTGGTTTGGTTCACCATCCTAAATAAAATATCTTACACTAATTAGTTTTAAAATAAAATTGCTTGATTAGAAAAATACGAATTCAAAACAAACTAGTTGCAAATAAAATACTTGAAAAAGTTCACCAACCAAACTTAATTGAAAGGATAATGAAATTCATTCATAGTAATCCATATGTTTATGTCGTAATCAGGCACTGATTATTAACACCAAATATGGAAAGTACAAGTACAAATAGCATTGTCCAATTGAATTTGATCGAAAGTGACAAAAAAAACGTAACATATATATATATATAGTTTTTTGTCAATTTCCTAGCCCGTGAAAATGACGAAAGTGCGAGATAAAAAAAAATAAAAATTGGAAATGAATTTTATGCAATCAAAAGGATGTTGATAATTCAATAGAAATTGATAGAAATCTCAAATTTCATTCAATGGTAACTAAAGAAGCTAATGAATTATAATTGCAAGAAAATTTCTTTTGAGTATAGATGTACTCCATATTCCTTAGCTAAAGGTGAACATCGATTATATGACAATTTAGGTAGAATAATGTAATAAGACGTTAATATGCTGATTTCACATAGAGGATACAACTGCTAAAAACTTGCAGAACATAACGAGCTTCAAATTTTTTAACTAAGAATATCTTCAAGAGACTTTTTAAATATATGATACTTTATATTTTAGAGATTAAATGCTTAAGAAAAATAAGTGTTTAGAAGCTCTTCATTTTATATTATAATTATTGCATTTAATTAACTACAGATTTTAATACTTTATAATTTTTAAATTATTCAAATCATCGATTGATCATCGGCATATAAAAAAATTACATTAAATAAAAGATTAGGAGAAATTAATAAATATTTCTTGAAAAAAAAAAAAAGCAAATTGAAGAGCAAAATAGATAGGATTGTAAGAATATTATGTATAAAAAAATTACTTTCTAAAATTTTCCCTATTATATATAAAATGTTTTCTTATAAATATAGAGTCTTTTGAAGATGTTTTAAAAAACATTATAAATCTAGACGTAATAAATAGAATACAATTAAAAAAAATTTGGTTTATTTATAAGTAAATAAAAATCACTACGGTAAATATGTGAAAAGGAACAAATACAAATATGTAAGTTAATCTTGCTTGATTGACTTATAGGGTAAACAAACAAGAAGTTCATCAAGTAGGTTCAAGTATTGACCTTCAAAGTTCAAAGAACGTGTTTTTCATTTTTGAGAAAAGTGAATCTCTAGTTTCGATTTCCACCAACCAAACAAATTATTCTTCATTTTCATTGGTTATACAAACCAGACAAACCAGTGTACACATGTTATATAATAATGATACAAGATTTTGATGTTGTCTGATTCTTCTTACTAAATATGACATTTGTGTATCAATGTGTACTTGAGATCTAAAGTTAGGTTTTAGTTAACACTATGCTTGCTTGGCTAAACTTTTAGTTGCTTACAAGCAATGAATCTAAGAATTTATAATTAAAAAGTAGGTAAAAGTTGTGTTGTAATGCTATTTGTGTAAGTGTTATGCTCTATATCCAATCAATTTTGGACATTAACACTTTTAATATATAATTGATATATTTTATTTATGACATATCTATTATTTAATTTAAATAATATTCTAACAAATTAAATAACATGGGTTCTTAAATTCAAATCTTAATAATGTATTAATTACAAATTGTGAGATACAAATTAGATATGATCGAATTTTAAATCATTCGTAATCATAAGTAATAAGGAGATACATATGTCGTTATTGCAGATAGACCAGCATGTGTGGTATTTCTTACTTGTGAAGTAAGTGGTTCATCTCACAATTTAAAAGTGTGGTGACACTTAAATGAACACGTCAATGTTTTGTTAAAAAACAAAATATTAGAGACCCACTGGATAGATTCCATAAATATAATTATTTGAGCGTCGTGGTCAATCTCTATCGCTTGGTGGTGGAATTGGTCATTCGACTAGAGGTCTCATATTGCCTTATATGGAAATAATCATATTTTGGTAATGCTGGATGTTGCTTTGTCAAGAGTCGTTAATACGACATTGTTCGAGTATGTTAAGAATCATATAAAAATTGTGAATGACCAATAGGAGATTCGTCACTCATAGATAGTAAGATATTATATCTATATTTTTTATTTAAGTTGATAATGAAATAATTGATCAAGGTGTACTCATAAATTAAAAAGATTTTTCGACTTACATGAACTTAATAGTGGGATGAAAGGTATGATCGATAATCAAGATTGACATATTTCATATTTCATAATTGATCGGATCATATTGACGATGTGATTATAGTTTCACATTAAACGAAAAAATTTGATTTTATCATACCACGTAACAGTTCTCGTCACTTGTGGTGCCCTAACACATTATTAGGCTTGTGTTTGACACTCATTTTGAGTGTATTATAAATTTTGGAATAGTGATTGATGGAAGAATATGTGGTTGAAAAGTAATGAAAGTCTTAGATTTGTATGTAATATTATTTTATTTGGAGAATGCATGATTAAAATTAAGAGAAAAATATTTTTTTTAAAAATAATGGGTGCCAAACACAATGTAGATGTCAATCTGGAAAAACGAATATGAATTAATTAATTTAAGTGAATTAATAATAAATTAAAATGGTGTTCTAATTTATCTTATTTTGATTAGATCAAAATAATGATTTATTTCGTTTGTTATTGTGATCAAAAATCTAATAGGTCACACACAAAGGAGAATTAGAAGAATGAAATATAATAATTAATTAATTGACAAGTGTTGGATAATTAATTAATGAATTACTTAGATCAATTAAATATTGGACGAAATTAAGTTTAAGTGTTGGGTCGGCCCCACTTGGATGCTAGATAATTGCACAGTTGTAGATTGTAGATCATGGTTGTTCATGTTCAAGATAAGTAAAAAGATTAACAAAATTCAACAAATGTATAATTTGTATCACTATTTCTTTCTAAATACAAAGAAGATTATTGGTGAGAATTGAAATATTATTTAAACTTCATTGTGCATTTTAAGTAAATTTCAAACAATTTGTACATTGTTGATGAACTAAAAATAACGTGGCAAAATTAGATCAATTTAAAAGGAAATGTTTATTGTTAATAGCTAGAATTGATAAAATACAGAATGGTCGCTTTGAGTGAATTTGTTATGGAGTACTTTTAAAGGAAGTCTTAGCTCCATCCTAAGGGGATCATTTGCCGCCTTTTATAGGCCTTCTAAATCAAGCAACTGGGTCACCCGATGTCATATAAGCTACAGTACCGATCTAAACTGATCTCACTTTTCATGGCTTATGACCTAGAAGTTAATCATAGGATCAATGGCCAGAAGTATTGATTTATTAAAGCACGTGAAAAGACCTGAACCACACAATATTAAACAAGATATAAAGAATCAATCCCAATCGAAAGTAAAAGTTGCAGAAATTAGAATGAACACAAGATATGTTTTTGGCCTAAGCCCTGGAGGTTCAGCGATCAGATCTAACGCCTACATCCCCCGTTAAGCATCCAAATAATGGATATTACTCGATTACACTAACAAGCCAAAAATATGGCAACGGCAGTTACAAAATCTGTACAAGAACAGAAGATAAAAGGCTATAGACACTTATCTTTTACAAGTTCCTTTAGATCGATCTTCTCTCAGGCAAAAATAGGCCAGATCTCAAAGTTCTGCCTAACAACTCATTCACTACCCGAACCACAAAAGATTCAGCACTCCAAACACTCACAGAATCCTCACTTCTCACCAAACATAAGAACTAAGAGAATATACAGTTTACACGATTATTCA